CCAGTAACGGAGAACCCCTTTCTTTGAGTGAATATAAATAGTGACGGGGTCTCACAAATAAATATAAATCTGAATTACAGGAACATCGATTAGCAAAGTAAACTTACATATTAATCTCGAAGTTATTTACGGTAAAGAGAGACTGTGCTCCTGAATTAAGGTATTATACATTTGTGTGTGTGTGTGTGGTGGGGGTGGGGGGGGGGGGGGGGGGCACTTCCTATATACAAGATGATAGGACGTGTCGCTGGAATAGGTCACTTTTTCCTGCTTGAAAATATGGGAATAGGTGCAGGGAAAAACTATCAGAAATATATGATAAGGTCGATAAAGTTCCAATTACTTGTATATGAAAAGCCCTGTCATTTTTTCACAGCCGAAAGTCTCGCCGTAAGTAAACATTACACACAGAATCTTAGCCTTAAATATTCCACTTTTCCAACACACCCCACGAAACCCAATCAATATGGGAAAAGGTTACAATTTTACTCACGCAATATATGAAAAGGTATACATTTTTAAGATCTAAATTATATGGAAAGGGTGGGGTAACAGAACCCCAGCGACACCCCCTATCAAATAAATATTGAAGTGCACCTGCAAAAATATAATTCGACTAAAAACAATGCTAGTCAAAATTGCTTTTTGAGACTGGGCGACTGAAAAAGTTTTAAAATGTGACCTTGTGACCCTATTTGGAATTCTCCATTCGTCGGTGTGGCTAAAAAAAAAGGGGGCATCTTTATTAAAAAAAAAACAAGACCAATCATAAACTTTTTTTCAAAACTCAGTGTCGTATTTTATTGTCTTCCCAACAATTTTTAATAAAAGCTTAAAATGTTTGTTTCACTTCCCTCTGACTTCCCTCCTGATTTTTTTTTCTCAAGAAATTATAGAATCAGTAAATGTATATATATATATATATGTCTGTGGTCACCGTCATGCATTTAGATAAGAAATTCCAGCATGCATCATCAAATAATTCATGTGTATTTGTGACATCAACATAACTGAAACATTATATTATTTCCCAGTAATTAGGTAAATCATTTTGATTTACAATTATATATGTCTGGGACTTGTGCATGTATATGTCTCACAGGCACTTGTCTCAGAAAAAAAATCCTATATACTTTAATAAAGGTATATAGGAAATAAAATTCTGAGACAAGTGCCTGTGATATATCTGTCAGTCCCAGAATAATAAATATAATTGTATCTTAATCTTTGGAAAAATCCGATTAGTCAATTGTTAAATTCTTTTACTTCATAATTATGTCAAAGTATACTTGTAAAGTTTTAAATTTTAAAGTTAAAATGAATATTCCGTTTTGATCTGAGGAAAAACTTTTTAAACTGTAATGACATGGTCAGTCAACTGATTTGTTACATGGCTGATTACAGGTAATTAAAGCATGCAGTAATTTTCCATTACGACAGTGCGTGTACCCTGGGGTGTTTATAACGTATTAGATATACCATAGTTATCTAGAGAACATCCTGTCTATGTGTAATACAGATTGATGACATTACACAAAATTTCTTTCGTTAAATGTAGTTAAGTATCTGTGTCCATTCCCTATTGCAACACTACAAATTTTTTCGGAGAAAAAAATGTTAAAATTCAAAAAAAAAAATCATTTATATAAAATAAAGAAGAAAAAAGTAGCAAATAAACTTATGTAACTACGCATTTAGTAAACATAATTTCACTTTACATGCACAAACCCTTGAGAAAACGTGTATATAGTTGTGTTTAAAAAGGCCAATTCCCAGTGGATTTATTTCACACTAGGACCACAGGCACTTGTCTCAGAATTTTGTTTCCTATATACCTTATATAACATTAAAGTATATAGGAAATTTTTTTTTCTGAGACAAGTGCCTGTGACTAGGACCTAAGATAACTAGAACTAAGTTCTTTGGAAAGTTTTTTGTCTGATACATGTATACCTATAGATAATGTACATAATTAAGAACAGCTTCAAATATATGCCTATAAATTAACGGTACGTCTAAAAACCGCTCAGGATCTCCTGAGTGCAGACAGGACATAAAAAGTCACTCAGGACATGTATATATGTTTTACGTCTAGTAATGGACTTCTGGTTTTAGTGAGCGTTGTTTTATTTTAGAGATATTGAGTTTTTTGTAAAAAAAAAAAGGGGGGTTTTCGCATGTCACGCCGTATGTCAGAAACTATTTATGCTTATTGCATAAAAATTCACACACAAGACGACGGGCGTATCATGCGCTCATGGCGCATGCTGTTTATTGATCTTATAATTTTGGTTTTGTAAAAATCAAACCAACATTAAAGAAGTTATTTGGGATACGTCATGCATAACCGATGATCATATTCAATACCAATCATCATTTTGATTAGGTCGTTTGATCTTTAACAATTAGGACTGATTGGTGATGGTTATAAACACATACAAGTAAACTTTGCAAACAAAAACAAAAAAGAAAGCGTTTCCTTGGAAAAATTATAATAATACATGAATATTGTTTTTACAAAAAAAAGTTATTTTTTTCGTTTTGTATGTAATAATTGAAGCCATTTAGAAATATAAGAAATCTTCACATAGTCGGGAAATTTTCAATTCAAGTTATTTCATTTGAAAACGTTAAAAAATATAGATCTTATTCGATGTAAAATGTGGGGTCCTTGGAGATCAAAACCCCGTTTAAATAGGGTTTGTCTACTTTCGTCTATTGCCGAACATTCTATAATCAAGGATTTGTACAAATCCTTGCTATAATATAATGAATCGCGTCTCCAATATCACCACCATTACATAAAGTACAAATACAATCTTCTCCTAAATATTTGGAATCTAACAATTTCATTAGGAAATTTTGAGTCACGATTTACTTTTGAGATATTTTTTCTTTGAATAAACTTAATTTCAAAAACGTTTCAGTATTTTTCTGAAACATTTTTAAAAGGAAACGGACTTGTAAACAAAATTTATTTTTGAATATTAATATTGAACAATGATTGTTAAGAAAACAATCTGCCAAAGTGGTTTGGTAATTAACTGGCTTCATGCTGTCAAAAATGTCTCCTTTTTATAAGTTAATGATAAAAAAAAAAAACTATTTGAAAGCGAATTAATCATTTCCTCAACTAAATACCATCTATAAATAAAGTCAATTCGTCAAGAACTTTCTCTCATATATTTAAACAATTGTAAAATAATTAATTTAAACTTTTGTACTGCGACTTTCTGTCCGTTTACCGATACTTATTCCTTGTTAAGTTTTTTCATATCCATTTACGAATACATATAATGTGATAATTTTTCCGGATGCTTTTTATCCTATTTTCATATCAAACAACCATGTTACCCGTAGAACGGAGTTAAGTACAAATTTAGGAATTTAGTACTTAAAATTTTCAACAACAAAATTTTACACTTTCATTTACCTGGATTTTTTTCTACGCTTCGAAGCCGCCACCCTGTATTTAACATAGCCAACACCTCGCATGGCGTATTCACGATGTTGAGGGATTGACAATATACAGCAAGTAAGTAATTGGGTGTTGAATGCCAGTAGATCTGAATTTGTAAATTTGTAAATTGAATTTAACCTGTTTAGAACGTGTATTGTTGAATTGTTTAATAAAATTACACACACAATCTGGGCTGATATGCATAAAACCACTTTAAGTTCAAGGTATCAATGAAACTGGGTCTGCATGAAAAAATGACTTATCACATAGTACCAGAACCTATGTTTACTGTTAGATGATAAGAAAATATAGCTGTAGGCCTAGTTGAAAATCTTTACAAATTATTTATTCTTTAAATTTCTATTTGACTGTCTGGGTGCTTCTTATGTGTTTGAAATGTTTGCGTTTTGTATGCTATAGTTAAGTTTTATAGACTGTTGTACGTCATTTGGTCGTTTTTAAGTTTTTGCCATGGCGTTGTCAGTATGTCTTCGACTTATAAGTTTTATATAATCTGCATCTCTTGTGCTGTATGTTAAAATGTATCTACACAATTGCTGCATCTTTACACATTCATCAATACACCTAAAAATATGAATAAAGCTTTCGTATATATAAAAAATAAGGAGATGTGGTACGATTGGTAATGAAACAACTATCCGCCAGTTTAATTCAAAAACCTGATATAAGCAAATGTGACTTACTTACTTACTTTAATCAGAGAGATCTTGAATCTGAATTCAATGATACGAAGTGGGAAGGGGTAGAGGTGGATTAAGGTGAGGACATGGGGGCCGTCCCTTTTTTGGAAAAAAAATTGGTTGATTATTTAGAGAATCACTGAAGCGGGCCCCCTCTTAATGCATGACAGTTAGTGCCTCCTTATGACTTTTTTTGGATCCGCAACTGGTGCGGACTTCATAAAAAAATATTTAGTAAGTTTTTATTTTGTGATAAATAAAGTATTTACATTCACATAGACAGAAATAGGATAAAATAAACTACCGAAAGCTTAAGTCCACATAAGAGGGTATGGATGGGGGTTAACAGAATAGAGAATAACGTGCAAACAATAAAGATTAAAGAATAATGAAATGCTAAAATATGAGGAAAGAGAGTAATGATCAAAAAGTGTAAGTTTGTAGAAATATAGCTAAAAAAAATAAAGAACACAGAAAAAGAAGACCCCCCCCCCCCTCCCAAGATCCTGACTTCAACTTTAACGCTGCCGGGATATTTTGAGACAAAGTGCACGTATTAGTAGTCAGCCGAAACCACTACTGAAGCGTTTTGCATCCATACGTTTTTTTTCGGGATACTGACTGCATAGTAAATTATCAATGTACTAGTTAATGTTCTCGAGAGATGACCCTATTACAGAGACATATATACACATATGTGTATATATGTCTCTGCCCTATTACGTGTCAGTAACCTCCTCGACACGGTTCAATTTACGGCTGCTCATTTTTGTCTTAAGAATAAACATAATTGATAAGTTTCTTTCCCCTGCATTCCTCGATCGCACTTGTAAATAGCCAGTAAGGGGAAAGAACTCATTAATCTAACGCAAACATGGCGGCTATCCGGGGAAAATCAAGTTTTGTGTTTACAAAAAGGTTGGTTATGCAGATCGTATGAAGAAGAATGACTTGTTACTTTGCCATAATTTATTTAAGATCATGATCTTTCGGTTTATCTATATGCCTATTATAATCACACGGTGCAAATATGTTAAATCTGACTGCAAAAAAGTTGTGCTATTGAAAAATGTTAAAATTGAAATCCCAAGATAATGGGGATTTCAACTTTTTCAGTTTTCTGGCGTATAAAAGATATACTTTCATATATTTTAAGTTATAACTTTAAATAAAATTGATATATTATTTTTACTTGATATTATATGTTGAAAAAGTAAGATCGGTAAACAAAATAACGAGTTTTCAGTTGCACATGTTGCATGTTGTTATTTTATTGATATGCTAATGAAACACAACGTCAATAATTGTTTACCACCCAGTACATGTCCAACTCTAGAAATAGTCCCTTATTCTGAAAAGGATGTTCAGAAGCAAAAGTGATTTGCAATTTACAACCATAATGCAATAATTAGTGTTTAACATGCATGATGTACAAAACAATATACATGTTCAGCTTGGATGTTGAGTTATGCAGTGTGTCTGGTGGTTATCTGAAGGTATAATCCATAGCCAAGGTCAGCTGCCTTGGCTATCATATATGTGTCCATCTGATCATCTATCCCAAATGTATATGTACATGTAGGGCCTAGATGTCATTTAGTTGTGTCGTATGTTTGCTGTCTCAGCATACATTGATATATACCCTGGCAGTATCTTTTTTATTCACATTACCACAATAGTAAAGCTCATATATTACATGTATATATATGGCGAAATTGCAATTAATTATTTAATAGAAATACATATTGTACATTCCTCTTCTTAGGCAGTCTGCACCAAAATCTTTTCCAACTACTAGTCCGAAGGCAAATATTCAGACATTTTCCTTATGTGTCTAAACAAAGTTTTGCGAAAATTAACTAGTCCAAATAAAATTTTACTAGTCTGGGGCATCAGACTAGTGGCTAACAGTGCAGGCTGCTTCTACATTTACACATACATGTATATATAGTTTGTATATGTACAATGTACATGAACTGCCTCAGATATTAACTAGTCCAAATAAAATTTTACTAGTCTGGGGAATCGGACTAGTGGCTAACAGTGCAGGCTGCTTCTACATTTACACATGCATGTATATATAGTTTGTATATGTACAATGTACATGAACTGCCTCAGATGTCTTGTAGTAATGTCAGGTACAAAATGTAACTAAACTGTAGTGTGCAGGCATGTATCATGGGAAGTTATAAGTTGGATCTGGGGCCAAGTCAATCTATGACTTGAAAAAGGGTTTTTGCTGCTTCTCTGCTAAGCACCCTCTGCTTTAAGGGGTAACTAGAGTAAATACTTGGTCAGCTGAGGACAATAATTAAACTGATGCGGATCAAAGAGTTGAAAACCCCCAAAGCTAGATAATGTTTGGAGTGAAACGGGTAAAAAGTCTGTATTATATATATTAATTAACCATAAATGTAGCTCCATGTGGGGGGGGGGGGGGGGGGGGCAAAATCCATCTCTGTGAAATGTCTGATACCTTAAGCCGCTCATGTCTTCCTGTAGAATGTTTACAGTAGAAATGGCATGTTAAAAAGCTGACTAAGTGCGTCTGTCTAGCACAAAGCAGTGTTTATACCATAGGCAGATCCAGGGGGGGGGGCCCTGGGGGGCCCGGGCCCCCCCTTTCGTGGGAAAAATTTGGTTGATTATATAGGGAATCACTGAAGCATGACTGGAGCGGGCCCCCCTTAGTTCAGTCAGCGGGCCCCCCCTTATGAAAAGTTCTGGATCCGCCACTGCATACTCACATTACATAACGTTAACATGTAAAGTTTGCCATTGAATTTTTCAGGGTTGGCAAATTATTATATACCTGGTTTTCTAAGGTTAGGCAGTACCCCCAGAAGTTGGTATTAAATGCATGTTGTACTGAGTAATGTGGTTGTTGTTTTCTTGACCCATGCTGGATGGGGGATATAGAATATTTTGTAGAAGTACCTTGCGTCCATCAGATGGTAGGTATACATTGTACATTTTTTGGTGTCAGAAGTTATTAAAATCATTATCAAAAGTTAATACCAGCAAGGTCTTGGAACTGTGCTGTCAAATTGTTTTTACAGGAGTTATGCTGCTTGTTAATAGATATTATAGGGAAAATTACATTGTTAGGGATTTCTTGACTACATTTTGTAAGATATTTAATACATAGAAGTATATTAGAACCAAACAAAATTGTCCTTGGACTGATAAAATATGTGCCACATTGGAAACTATCTGTCAATATTGTCATGTTTTATTTAATTTAAATTTTACACAGAACAGTTCAAACATATTGTAGTTTCATAATACCATTGCCATATATAAACATTTTACACAGAAAACCTTGAGTTATTTTAAGAGGAGAAAAAAAATCAATTTCTTCAATTTCTCAAACAATTTCATATACTAAATGCACAGAACAAGTATTGTATAAAATAAGGATATATGTGGTATGATTGCCAATGAGACAACTATCCAACAGAGTTTAAATGACAGGATTAAAGCAACTATTAGTCAACAAATGGTCTTCAGGAGCCTGTAGCCTTTGTTAGTCTTGTATTATTTTTAATTTTAGTTTCTTGTGTACAATTTGGAGTTTAGTATGGCGTTCATTATCACTGAACTAGTATATATATTTGTTTAGGGGCCAGCTGAAGGACGCCTCCGGGTGCGGGAATTTCTCGCTGCATTGAAGACCTGTTGGTGACCTTCTGCTGTTGTCTGTTCTATGGTCGGGTTGTTGTCTCTTTGACACATTCCCCATTTCCATTCTCAATTTTATTCAATAATGAGTAAAACCCATACCTTATACAAGACCCTGACATAACAGAATGGATCAAAGAACATTATTTGAACAAAAGACTTTTTTCCAATTCAAAGAATATTACTGGTAGTGTATACGTAATATTTCAATATTTTTTTTTAATTACAGATTGTTTGTTCACTGTTAGTCACTTAATGTAAGTGGGAAAAACTGATTGGATAAAGATATTAAACAGTCTTTATAGTACATGTGAAATAGGTGAGTTTTCCCAGTAGTAAATTAGTTTGTTTTTTTTGAATAGGGGACATTTCAATAGTATAATTAAATCCGTATTAATATTTTGTATTGTAATTGGCCACTGTACCATTTGTAGTTAAATTAAAATAAAGTTGTTATGTTTTGATTTTGATAAAACAGTTTACCTTTTACTGCTATAAAATGTTTTATACTTTATTTCATCTCTCAATTTCAATTTTTGCAGGAGACTCATCTGATTGTGGAAGTTTGTGTAGTTGAAAGGAGTTACATACAGATGCTGTTTTGAATCATAAGAAATGACTGATATTAATTCATTTCTTCAGTTCCTCATTAGCTTCTTCACAAGGAATAAATTGTGTAAGGAGTTCTATATTCCTATTTAAAGACCTAACTTTTTTTTCCATTTGAGTGTATGAAAGCAAATTAATTGAATTCATTCTGATTACTGAGCTTATATAGTTTTATGTACATGTATATGTGACTTTATCTTTATTTGACTTTTTATTTATAAGTTATTTAAACATTAATAATTTTATTCTTTGTATGAGAAGCTATAATCAATCGACTACTGTAAATTCAGAAATTATTGCGTGCATTTATTATTGCGATTTTGTCATTTTAGACTAAAATGCGATTTAAATTTTTGCGATATTGAGAAAAATCCTGTTTAATTCATATAAAAAATTTCAAAATGCGAGTTTAAATTATTGCGATTATAACCCTGTCGCATTTTTCGCAATAATAAAAACATCGCAATAATTTCAGAATTTACAGTATATATTTTTTTCTCGCCTGGGATGAAAGTCCGTGAAAGTGAGACATAAGGGTTTCTTTTCTGGCGACGATGGCTCTTGCATCAACAATTGTTAAGTTTTCTGCTTAAGTTAGTAAGTTTGACAGGTATTACTTGTGATAGATCATTGATATTTAATATAAAGTTGTATTACTATCAGTACATATCAGTTTGACAACTATTTTGAGGCCCTGTCCCTAGGATATGGTGCAGTGACTTGGATTTAGAGATTTTCAATAATAATAGAAAAACAAAGGATATGGAGTATCCATCCATGACACAAAATCAGTAAATGCACATCAAAAAAACATACAAAAAGCAAAGGAACAGCGCTTTTATTGCTGTTCTTCATCTCAAAGTCACATTGAGACCTCAACTCGGAGCAAAAAAAACTCTCACTTCACTGCAAGTTTAAGACGGCCCCTATCACCGACTTTAGCGGAATTCTTTGCAAAAATAATTTGGATAGACTTTGTAAGATGTAACACCACTCAATCGGGCTAAGTGGAAAAAGAACATTCTGGAAAGTAGTACATATTTAAAACAAAAAAGTTTACTGCTTAAGTTAGTTTGATAGGATCTAATTCTAACACACACATTACAATATATCCAAAAATAAAGTAATTGTCTGATACAGAAGTTTTATATGTTTTAAAGAATAATGCTGTTTTTGCCTTCTTTGTTTTTATTCCCTTTGAAAATATATCATTTTGTCCAACAAATTTAAAAAAAATCTGCATCAAGGCTTTGTAATATTGCAAATATTTGACCTGATAACAATTTAGACTGTTGGAATCATCATTGGCATAATAATGATATCAAGTTTGACCTGACATGAGGAAGGCAAGTGTCATAAACTTATTAAACAATAAAATTGAGAATGGAAATGGGGAATATGTCAAAGAGACAACCCGACCAAAGAGCAGACAACAACCGAAAGCCACCTATGAAACAAGTTTGATTTGGATCAAGAAAATACTCAAATTAATACAATAAACAATGTATACATTGACATATACACAAATTAAAAATAGATGAGTTATGAGAGAATCCTTTTTTATAAGCTAATCTGGCAAAAGTGACTAATTGTGTCTTCATACTCAGTTCATTGTTTGTCGTCTGTAAACCTTTTAGCTCACATCCCCATAAAGCCACTGAACTACTGTATAAACTTACTTGTTGTCCATTGTAAACTTTTTACCAAACTTGAGGTGAATGGTTCTAATGGTGTCTAGTATAAACTTTGTTGATTTTTATTCTGGTCAGTCTGTACACAGCAAACACTTTTGGATGAGTCTTTAAGGAATTATTACCCTTAAATAGTGATTTAATCAATTTTTATACGACCGCAAAATTTAAATATTTTTGGTAGTATATTGGTATGACGTTGGCGTCGTCTTCCGAAGACACATTGATTACCGCACTCTAACTTTAGTTTAACTGAATGGATCTCCATGAAATTTTACCATAAGGTTCAATACCACAAAAGGAAAGTTGGGATTGATTTTGGGGGTTATGGTACCAACAGTTAAGGAATTAGGGGCCAAAAATAAGCATTTTTGTAACTTCCAGACATAACTCGTGTGTTAGTGTATGGATCTCTCTGACATTGTACCACAAGGTTCCAAATCACAAAGGGAATGCTGGGATTGATTTTGGGGGTCATTGCCTCAAAATTTTAGGAATTAGGGGCAAAAAAACAAGCATTTTTCTAGTTTCATGATAACAACTTGTGTGTAAGTGTATGGATCTTTCTGAAATTGAACTACAAGGTTCCATATCACAAAGGGAAAGCTTGAATTGAGTTTGGGGGTAATTGCCCAAAACATTTAGGAATAAGGGGCCAAAAAGGGGCCAAAAATAGCATTTTTTGAGTTTCCAGACAATAACTTGTGTTCAAGTGTATGGATCTCTCTGAAATTTTACTGCAAGGTACCATACCACAAAGGGAAGGCTGGGATTTATTTTGGGGGTAATTGCCTCAAAATTTTAGGAATTAGGGGCCAAAAAGGGGAAAAAAACAAGCATTTTTCTAGTTTCAGGACAACAACTTGTTTGTAAGTTTATGGATCTTTATGAAATTGTACTACAAGGTTCCATATCTCAAAAGGAAAGCTGGGTTTGAGTTTGGGGGTAATTGCCCTAAACGTTTAGGAATTTGGGGCCAAAAAGGGGCCTAAAAACAAGCATTTTTCTAGTTTCCAGACAATAACTTGTGTTCAAGTGTATGAATCTCTCTGAAATTGTACTGCAAGGTACCATACCACAAAGGGAAGGCTGTGATTGAGTTTGGGGGTGGTGAATCATAAGGGGGTTCAAAAAATTTAGGGGAGGTATTTTTTTTTTTCTTTAAAATTTTCCATTTTAAATTGGTTATTTCTGATTTATATATAAAAGCAAATAATAATGATATGGTTTGAATAGGTAAATTAAAAAATTTTAAGTTCTTAGACCACATTCATACTGTGTCAGAAACCTATGCTGTGTCAAATATATAATCACAATCCAAATTCAGTGCTGTATCAAGCTTGAATGTTGTGTCCATACTTGCCCCAACTGTTCAGGGTTCGACCTCAGCGGTCGTATCAAGCTGCGCCCAGCGGAGCATTTTATTGCATTTTGGGCAAATTCAATAATAGTTTAAAAGAGAAACTGTAACCAGCCAAAATGATCAGCAATATGCATGATTTACAAATAGAACTAAGATATGAATGCTGAATTAAAATCCGGTCTATAATGTAAGAGAGTGGCCATTTTTGAAGATGCAAATAGATCCAAGTGAGTGACAGACTATTGTCTAGTTAAAAGAGCTTCCCTGAAACTACTGAACCAATTCAAACCAAAGTGACATGATCGATGGTGCTTAGTGGTGTGTAAAATATTGCTTAAATATTGTATGTCAATAAAAGACGAATTGAAACAAAAAAAGATCAGCATTTTAGGCGCATTGAGCCTGTAGTTTACCGTTTTGCTGTGACTGATAACAGCTTCATATCAGGATCAGTGCTGAACTTATATACTTTGTTATGTCTTTCTGACGAAGTTTTGTTTATCTTTAAAATGTCACAAAGAGTGGGTCATGAATTAAATTGACCACTGTCTCGAGTTACAGGGAGGACTGGGCACTAACAAACATTATTTACCCTGCCAGGTTCTGTATGCGTTTGTCCCATGTCATGGAGGATCAAATTGAGAATGGAAGCGGGGAATGTGTTAAAAGAGACAACAACCCGACCAAAGTGCAGAAAACAGCCCTTGGCAAACCAATGGGTCTTCAACGCATGTGCTGCTGTATTTCGGTGATTGTCGTTGGTTGCTGGCTTTCATATTTTATTTTCGTTTCTGATTCTGATAGTGTGTTTTCAAAACAAGAATCAAAAGAATTTGTAAAGATTTGGGGCGGTCCTGAATTGCGTGTACGATTTAATGCTAAACAATGATATATTATCCAATTAAAGGGGGCGTACGCATTCTACGCCCTCCCCCTTAATCCATACATAATTGGATTGAGGTGAGGGGATGGGTAGACAAGTGAACCCGCCCACCCTTATGGGACTACATGTCTCTTGCATATAGACTGTATGCCCCACTCCTGATGTTTTTTAGTGGTTCCCCTTTTTTTTTAAATCCTGGATCAGCAACGGATATGGTATATGAAACATTGATTGAAGATGAAAACCGGGTAAAATATGATGTAAAGCAATGCATATATATTACTCTTCAAGAGTTTTGAAAACACACATTGGAACTGGAGCAAATGCATGTAGGGCTGGCCTACATCTGTGGTAACATGCCTTTTCGTCATCATTACAAATAAACTTGTAGGATTATTTTTCCAATGAAAGAAAAATAAATACCTAATCGGATCGCTTGCCAACCCGTGTATTAAAAAAGTAAGATATGAAATAACGTATTAAGGGAAATCATGAATTTATACAAAATATATTCGTTCGTATATCTGCATATCCTAGCTTGTGTTTTGTGAAAGGATCACGTAGCGAAGTACCACCTACCGAGAGTTCAAATTTTTAAATTCATAATGAGAAAAATTACAATCAGTTAAACTGACAAATTCTTTGAATAGGAATAAACCATAAAGGTAATGAAAACCGTGTGTTAAACTTCAAACACAATACCAATAGCAAAGGTTACGGCTACAGCGATTATTAAAAAGAAATAGAAAGGGAGTCATAAAATTTAAATTGCATGAATTATAATATAATAGCTCAATCATTTATGACCTCGGAGTCAATACTTTCTATTTCTGTTTTCTGATATTTTCATTGCTTATTTTACTATATACCGTTTTTACAAATGCACCCCCCCCCCTCCAAAGAATAAAAATAAAGAAAAATGAAAATATCATCAAAAACCTTTGAAAAAAAAGGATAATGCGCACGTTTCCGGATTAGTGTAACAAGAGAGAAAAAAACAACCGTACGTAAAATCATAGCTGTATAAAAAAAAACATACATCTATGGTAAAATCCAGGATTTGTATAGTGAAATAAAATCCTTGGTAAAATGAAACAGTCAGTCGAATACACCGCGGACCAAGTATAAGGTGTACATGAAGTATTGCAGATTAACGACAAACTATCTGCTATTATCTCGATCACACACACACACACACACACACACACACACACACACACACACACACACAAACAGCAAAAAGCAGAAAAAACAAATTAATTAATAAAAAAAAACACTGTCAGTAATGGTTATACTATCTACAACAGTATAATGGAGGAACGATGTGGCGCGTGGTTGT